TGTTAAATGCATTGGGTGCTTTGATTACTGTGTGTGTGTGTGTGTGTGTGTGTGTGTGTCTAACTAATGTTGTCACAGGGGCCAAGACAGATGGCTCCATTTTTTATTCTCTATGGTTCTGGATGTATTTATGGATGCTGTTTGAAGTTTGCGGTAACAAAGTCATAGCTTGCAATCCCATTTCATTAAACTCTCCTAGTCTTTCTATTAAATATGCTTTCCATTAGGTCTGCTTTGGTTTCTTTGGAGTTTCAGTACATTAACAAGACATAGTAGACAAGACAGATCAGAAGATAGGACTATTAGAAGAGGATAATTTACTAAATTAAATAGTTTTTACAAATTGTACTACAGCTTTTGTGATATTTTGCATGATTCCTAGTTATGCAACAGAAACAGGGACTTTTCTTGCTTATATATGATGTATCAAACAAATTCACTGGGAGTTTGAGCTGCAAATAACACTGGCTGGAGTTTTCTTTGTTCAGCTGCATTGCTGTGCTGCTTTTTTGCCTGTCGCAATCTATCCACACCATCATGAACCATGAGCCGTTTAGTGTGCGTATAAATTTGGTGGACAGTGAACTGTCAGAAACATGTCTTTAGTTGTCAGTCACCTTTTGCATGAAACAAACACTCGCAAATGTGATCCTCAAAGGATTTCACATCTGTCAAGTGGTTCTGTGCGTTTCAGATGGCCAGGACCCAAATGGACCATGAAGATGACTCGTTATAAAAACAAATTTGTTTTAAAAATGTCAAATTAGGTTATTCAGTCCATACTGCATGTGTATCACATCACCTCTATGTTATTCTACTTCCCCACATCTGTTAGTGATCATTTCCATGTGCAATGGCTCTATAAGATTATGCGGCTGCAAATTCTACCCAGATATGTCCATTATGGTTTGCCTTTGTTAGAATTAGATCTTAAAAATTGCAAACTGAAAGGAATTCATAAGTCTAACAGCTATATATATATATATATATATAAGAGTCTTAACTTTGATAAAGAATATCTCTTTGGTTTTGAGACTTTAGTCTTTGCAACTTCAGGGATCTTATCTATGCACAATCAGCTTGTAACACTCTAAAGAGAAAGGAAAACTTGAAATCGCATCATATGACCCCTTTAAGATTTTCTGTATAGTTGTCAATGCTCATGAGGAATCAAGGGTGTAGAATTTAGTAGGGATGCTAGGGACATTTCCCTACCAATATCCAGCTAACTAAATTGTCCCTATAGCAATAATTTAGATCAAACAATTAAATATATGTGAATGTAACTATTGTGGTTGTAATGTCGGCCGCATCTGAAATAGGTCATGCCATTGATATTACCTGAGAAGTTAATTTACACTAGAAAACTGCGTGCTTTCAAGGACGCACATTTAATACATGGGCAGAGTAAGAACATATAAGGGAGCCGAATAAAATAAGTCTCCTATGCTCACCCAGGCTGCATTAGTTTGATCAAAAATACAGTAAAAACAATACTATTACAATTTAAAAGTTACTGTTTTCTGTTTTAATATGTTTAAACATGTATTCCTGTGATAGCAAAGCTGAAATTTGCAAAAAATGAAATTAATACTTTTATTCAAGAAGGACACATTAAATTTGTCAAAACCGACAGTAAATAATGTTATTAAAAACATTGTTTTATTACTTCTATTCCAACAAAGACATTAAAAATGTTTTATATATTTTTAATATCTAATTAAAAAAATAGTTTTAGTGTAATTTGATATAAATCACTGAACACAATAATGGAGCATGTTGTCACACTTTATGGGTTAAGTTGTCACGGTGGAACCTTCCATTAAACCTGCCATTTTGCCCCCCCAAAAAATAAAGCAATTATGAATCAGCAATGAATTAATTATGAAAATGAAAAATATGATATAGTTTGGAGCACAGAATTCACTCACTCTCTCTCTCACACACACACACACACACAAAATATTTTAATTTAAAGGGGTCATATGATGCTTTTTTAAAGATCATTATTTTGTGTATTTGGTGTAACAGAATATGTTGACATGCTTTAATGTTCAAAAAACACATTATTTTTCAAATACTGTACATTCATTTATGTGAATGTAACTATTGTGGTTGTAATGTCGGCCGCATCTGAAATAGGTCATGCCATTGATATTACCTGAGAAGTTAATTTACACTAGAAAACTGCGTCCTTTCAAGGACGCACATTTAATACATGGGCAGAGTAAGAACATATAAGGGAGCCGAAGTGTTTAAAACATACGTGCACAGTTCAGCTGAATGATAATGTTTACCCTCTTTAACTTTTTTGTTATGCTGTTTTGTGTTCATCTGCTTCTCTCATTTGCTCTTTTTACATTGACTATCACTCTGTATAGACTAATACAATCGGATACAATGATTTCTCAAATATTTATTACAATATATACTGATAAATGTAACATTCACTTCAGTGGTATGAGATGACTACATGCTTTCAACTGATTTCCTATTGAACTGTCACCAACTGAACTGCAGTGGTCAGACTATTTAAAATCTAGTGAAGATACAAACTCGATCATAATGCACAATGTTTAAATCTAACATACATTTTGAGGTACAGCTCGGGCACAGGAAGTGTCTGATTTAAGGAGGAGATGGCGTCTGATGCCATTTCAGATTAATCCCTTGAGCCTGTTGCCCTGGTGTTTGGGGTTCAATTTGAATAGACAGATGTGCCAGAGCCAGAACTGCTGCAGAGCTCTCTGTAAACCCAAGTCATCCTCTTCAATAATGCAGGAAGCCACATGTGACGGGCACATGGCCATGCATACAGCAGATCGATCCTGCTGAGTGGAACACACTCCTGGGGATAATGGTGGACGGGTGCGTCTTTACTCCCTTTGTATGCTTCTAAACGTCCCTCTGTTTTCATTGTGCCATTATTTAACAGCTCTTTATTTATACCAGCTATGCCGTAATTAAGTTTGGATGATTGGTTTGAAGTTTGCAGAGGCGGAAAGATAAATTAGTAGAAAAGACCTTTGGCAATTTTTTTGTACATTTTTCTTCATAAACTGAGGCTCATAAAAAAGAACTGCTTTTTTAGTACAGGAAACCTTTACATGTTCCAGCAGTAATAATACCATTAAATGCATTATATTTCATAGCTATTATTTCAATTGATCCCAACCCACAGTTACATTTTTGCATGGTCTCCTTCAAAACCGTAAAACTACTTCAATGTGAAAAACACATTGAAACAAACATCAAGCTTTTAAGAGAAGAAACATCCAACTTTCTGGTCTTTCTTCTCAAGCCAACATTACGTTTGTCTTGAGCTTTTTATCTAGTTAAAGAAATGTAATGTGTTACAGTTGTGTTGCAATACATAACTGGCCTTTATGAGGATTGCTGCATAACATAAAGTACCTGAAAGCCATACTCAAGTAAAAGTACAGATATCTTACCAGAAAATTACTTTGGTAGAAGACTAGAAGTTGAAGTCACCGTTTAGAATATTACTTGAGTAAAAGTCTTAAAGTAGGTGATATTTATTGTACTTAAGTACGAAAAGTATTTTTTAAATCTTAAAC